AACATGAATAAGCATATATCAAATTTACCCTTCTGGTTTCTTACATCAGAGAAACAATGTGATATTTAAAAACATGTAAGATTTATTTCACTTAATATTATGGTTTTGGGTGCATCCATTTAGCCTGAAATGTCTCGAGATTTTTATTTTCTTTATGGACGAGTAGCACTCCATAGTGGATATAATTCCAGCAATTTCCAAGATTTAGCTTTTACAAATTGTGCTTCTGTAAACATGAATAAGCATATATCACTATAGTATTCTGCTTCTAATTCTTTTAGGATGATGTCAACAAGGGAAATAGCTGGACAAATCTAGTTTTAGTTTTTGGAGGAATCTCCATATTGATTTTCATAGTGGTTGAACCAATCTACACTCCCACCAACATAACGAAGGGTTCCTTTTTGTCCACAGCCCTGTCAGCATGTTATTGGTTGATTTCTTTTTTTTTTTTTCTCATTGAGATTATTGGTACATTTTAGGTAATTGTTGTTTTTTTTTTTTTTTTTTTTTTTTTTTTTGGTATCAGGGATCGAACTTGGGACCTTGTGCTTGCAAAGCAGGCGGCGGCACCACTGAGCTAAACTCCCAGCCCTTGATTTCTTGATAATAGCCATTCTTTCTGGAGTGAAATGGAACCTTGGTGTTTTTGTAATTGGCATTTCTCAAATGACCAGTGATGTTTTGAACATTTTTTATATATTAATTTGCCATTTATACTTCATCTGAGAAGTGACTACTCATTTCAAATGCCCATTTTTGGATTGTGTCTTTCAAAATTGGGGGATCTGATTTGAGTTCTTTATATGTTGTAGATATTAGTCCTTTGTCTGCAGAATAGCTGGCAAAAGTGTTTTACCAATCAGTGGGATGTCTCTTCATTTTGTTTGTGGTTGTTTTTTCTATACAAAGCTTTTTAATAAGGTGATGTCCCAGTTGTTGATTCTTTGTAATATTTCCTATGTGATTGGGGTTTTGTTCATTAAGTCTTTGTCCAAACCTGTGTCTTCAAGTGTTCTACCTTATTTATCTTCCAATATTTAAGTCTCTGACCCATTTTTATTTTGGTTTAGTTCATGGTGAAATGTATGAGTTTAGGTTTAATCTTCAGCATGTGGAAAACCATTAAGTACTATATTTATTAATTTATTTTCTAGTTTATTATCAATTATTAATGTGGCTTTCTTCCAACAGAGTGTTTGGCCTGTTTGTCAAAGAAAAGGTGGCTGAATGTGTTTAGAATTGTTTCTTCATCTTCTAATCTGTTCCATTGATCCTCGGGTCTGTTTTTTATTTTTTGCCAGTACAATACTTTTTTATCTCAGCATCTTTATAGTATAATTTCCATTCAGGAATTGTGATGCCCCTGCCTTGCCTTTGTTGTCTCGAATTGCTTTTGCTATTCTAGGTCTCTTCTAATTCCAAATTAATTTTAGGATTATTTTCTCCAATTGTGTGAGGTATGCTATTTGTATTTTGATTGGGACTACATTAAATCTGAATAACAATTTTGGGAGTTTGCCTATCTTCACAATATTAGTTCTTCCTAACCCAGAGCAAGGGATATCTTTCTATTTTCTTATATCCTCTTCCATCTCCTTTTTCAGAGTACTGTAGTTTTCAATTTAATGATCATTTTACTTGTTCATTGGATTGATTCCTAAGTATTGCATCTTTTTATGTTATTGCAAAAGGTGTGGTTTCCTTAATTTCCCTTTCAGTGAGTTTGTTGTCTGTGTATAGGAATGATATTGACTTTTGAGTGTTGATTTTGTAACCAACTACACTACTGAATTTGGTTATTAAATCTAGAAGTATTTTAGTGGAGTTTTGGGGTTTTCTATGTAGAGTAACATGTCATTCACAAATAGCGATAATTTATCTTCCTTTTTTCCTATCCTTATTCCTTTAATTTCTTTTTCTTCTCTAATTGCTCTGGCTAATGTTTCCAGAACTGCATTGAATAGGAATGATGATAGTGGATATCCTCATCTTGTTCCTGATTTTAGAGTGAAAGCTTTCAATTTTTGACCATTTAGTATGATGTTGGCTGTTGATTTTTTATAGATGACTTTTGTTTGATTGAGATAAAACTATCTTCCAATTTTCTGTAGGGTTTTTATTATGAATGGGTGTTGGGCTTTGTCAAATGCTTTTTTTTTCCCACCTATATGATAATCATGTAGTTTTTGTCTTGGTTCTACTAATATGGTTTAAAATATTTAGTGATTTTGATATGCTGCATCCCTGGGATGAATCCTACTTGGTGATAGTGTATAATCTTCTTGATAATTAGCTGTATTCTGTTTGCCAATATCTTATTGAGGATTTTTACATCAAAAACAATAATTTTTAAGGAAAACGTTTTGGTATAATTTTAACTCATTATTCTCCCAAGCAAATCTTAATTATACAGACTTTATTAATAATGTAGTTTATAGCTTGCTATTCAAGGTAGGTACATGGATAAATGTTATTAACATGACTTGAGAACTTATCAAAAAAGTGTACTCTGCCTACTAAATCTGAGTCTGCATTTTACTACATTCTCCAGGTGATTGAAATGTTCATTAATGCTTGAGATTATTACTTTTAACAATTTTGTGCTCTTGTCTTCTAGCTTAATAGATATCTTGCATTGTTCTTGTCAGTAGCTGCTTACTTTTTCTATGTATTATTTTCTTCTTGTCAGTGAATTCAGTCTTTTCTTTGGAAAGGTTTATTTTGTTTTTTGTTTGATGATGTGATGTTTCTGATTCAAAACAATGTAGTAGTCTATATTATAAGGCAACTGTCTTTTAAAAACACTTTAAAAGTGTTTTTTGTCAGTTAAGTTAAAAGCTATTGTATCGATTGTGGCACTGTAGAGATAGTTGAATTATTAATTTGGCTTCATTTGTCAAGTAGAAACATTTTAAAATCAGTGCTTTTATGAAATGTGGTACTGTAATAGATCTGTTATCTATCTCTTAAAAGATATGCTAGTAATAATGAAAATTTTATCTTGATATAAATATTATCTTAACAGTAAGCATTAGTTTCATAGAAAAATGCTTACATTGTAAATATATTGTTCCTCAAAAAGCAGTTGTGTACATTGTGACAAACATGATAAAAATCCTACTTGGATTACATTTCTTTGCTAAATATAACAAAATCTATTATTAGATATTACCTTTTCAAATCTTGGGTGAAATGAATATATTAGAGCTCATATATTACTCTGGAACCAAATAGATTTAAACACACTTTCAGTGATACACACTTCTTCTGTTTATTTTTGTTACTTGCTATGTGAAATCAAACACAAATTAGATTTGAATAGGAATGGATATTCATATCCTTCTTCCACATTAACTGAACTATTAACACCATAAACCATAAGTACATGTGAAATATAATATTTAGAATTTCAAAATTTGCTTTCTATAAAATGTTATCCAATTTTTTTTCATTCATATTTATTGGTATATGTTTGCAGTACATATTACTTGTGTAGAGTTGGTATATGTACATGTATGTAACACATCTGCATTCCTTTATCCATCCTCTTTCATTCCCCTCCCTCTGCTTCTTGATCTCTTTTTTTTCAGGGGGGTACTGGGGATCGAACTCGGGTCCCTGAACTTGCAAGGCAGATGCCAGAACCACTGAGCTAAATCACCAGCCTTTGATCTCTTTCCCTTTTGTAAAAGATTTATCTCCCCAGTTCCTATTATCTATCTTTTATTTTGCTCTTTATAATTTAGGTTTCTCATATAAGAGAAACCATGTTATATTTGGGCATGTGTCAGATTTATTTCACTTATTCATTATATTCTTAAGGTGCATATATTTTCCTGTGAATGACTCAAGATTATCTTTCTTTATGGCAGAGCAGTAATCTGTTGTATATAAACACCACAATTTCAAAATTCTTGTTGATGGATATATAGGCCACTTCCAAGTTATAGCTGTTATTAATTGTGCTGCTATAAATGTGAATCTATCATTATAATATAATGTTTTTAACTCTTTTGGGAAGATACAAGGGAAATTGCTGGGTCAAATGGAATTTCTAATAGTATCTCACTGGAGTTTTAATTTGCATTTTTCTGATAACCAGCAGTGATGAACATTTTTTCATATACTTTTTGGCCATTGGTTCTTCTTCTTCTGGGAAATGTGTATTCATTTCAGTTGCCCATTTTTGTTTGGGTCTTTTAATTTTAATTTTGGGGTCTAATTTTTTGGTAATTTTTATATATGTATGAATGATAATGTTAGTCCTCATAGCTAGCAGATTTTTTTTCCTGTTCTGTTATTGGTTTGTTCAAGACTTTTAAGTCACATTGGTTTACTTTTGGTAACTCATACATATCTAGGAATATCTCCTTTTCATATGAGTTTTCTAATCATGTAGTATATGTTTGTGAAGTAGTTGGTAATAATTTTATGCATTTCCGCAGTAACTATTGTGATTTCACCTTTTTATTTCTGATTTATTAACTTGTGTCTTTCTTTCTTTTTGGTCAGATTGGCTACTGGTTTTTTTTAATTATTATTCTTTCAAATAACCAGTTCTTTGATTCACTGAATTTTTTATTATTTTTAACTACTTAGAAATATTTAAATTCAGGATGACCAAAAATTTCATATTTTTCATTAATTTTTATAAGATTATATAATAGGAAAGTAAAAATGATAGTGTTATCAAATTTATTCAATGCAAGTATTGACTGGTTAAAATGACACTCCTCCAAGCAAAACTTGAGATAGTCAGTAGGTAAACAAATGTGTTCTCCAAGTAACACTCAAGGTAAACTCTTAAGTGGTTAAGTCTCCATTTCATTTATTTCTTCTCAGATCTTTATACTTTATTTTCTTGTAAAAGCTCTGGGTTTGGAACGTTCTTGTTATTCTAAGACCTTGAGATGCATCATTACATTATTTGTTTGAGTTCATTCTGTTTGATTGTTTGTTTGATGTGGTCATTTACCCCTATAAACTTTCCCTTGCAGGACTGCGTTCATTGTGTCCTGCAAGTTCTGGTATGTTGTACTGGTACTATCATTTAATTCTAGGAACTGACTTATTTCTTTCTGCATTTCCTCTGTAACCCATTAATTACTCATGTGTTGTTCAATTGATGGATTTTTTGCATAGTTTTTATGGTTTCTTTTGCTATTGGTTTTTAGTCTCATTCCATTGTGATCTGATGATATAAATGGTAAAATCTTTATTTTTTGCATTTGCTTAGTCATGTTTTGTTCACTAGCATGTGATCTGTTTTGAAGAAAGTATCATGTCAAGCCAAAAAAAGCAAAATGTGTATTCTGTTGTTGGGTGGAACACTCTATATACATCTAATTAATTTCATTTTTTCAGAGTTTTGGTTCAACTCTGAAATTCCTCTGTTGGTTGTTTTTAGTTGATCTATTTGTGATAGTTCCCTTCTATAATTGTTTTGATGTCTATCTGATCTTTTATGTCTTTTAGAGTTTGTATTATGAAGTTGGATGTTCTTTGGTTTGGTGAATACAAGTTTGTAATTGTTATCTCTTCCTGTTCAAAAAATCCATTAACCAATTTTGAGTATTTTTGCCATTTTTGATCAGCTTTGGCCTGAAATTCACTTTGTCTGAAAATAGACTAGCTAGATCTGCTTGTTTTCAGGTTTGCATTAGGTAAACTATTATCTTCCACCCTTTGATTTTTAATGTGATTTGTGTGTGCACCTGTCTGTGTGTGTGTGTGTGAGAGAGAGAGAGAGAGAGAGAGAGAGAGAGAGAGAGGGAGAGAGATGCGTTTCTTGTGTATAGCATACTGTTTGAAATTTTTTTATCCATTCTGCTATTCTATGTCTTTTCATTGGGGAGTTTAGTCCATTTACATTGCTCAGTATTAACTTATTCCTGTCATTGTATTAATTTTCTGTTGCTATTTTGCTTTATTTACTTCCTACTTGCCTACCTAATGTGTTCATTTTATTGCACATTTTGCCAGCATTAGCTTCATTATCTCCTAGGATATCCTTTAGAATTTTTTTGAATTTTGGCATGGTGGTTATTAATTTTTTAAGTTGTATTTATCATGGAAGTATTTTATTTCACCATCAATTTTGAAAGACTAAACAGTTGAGATAGGAGTTTTCTTCAAGAGCATGAAACACTTCATTCCATGCTCTTCTTGCTTTTACAGCTTTTGTTGAGAAGTCTTGTAATTTTAATAGATACTCCTTTTGAGGTAATTCCTTGTTTTTCTGTAGCAGACTTTAAGATTCTGTTCTTACGTTGCTTTTCTGGTATTTTAGTTATTACATGATGTGGAATTGTTTGTTTTTGTTTTTGTTTTTATCATAGCTATTTTGGGTTCCTTATGCTTCATTTTCCTCTTTGTTAATTTCTTTTTTTATGTTTGTAAAGGTTTCTGCTCTTAATTGTGTAAACAGTTTTTTATGGACTATGTGCTGTCTTCTGAGTTTTTGCTAATTACAGTTACTCTTATATTAATCCTCTTTTAGTCATCTGGAAGTTAACTGAATCAATTTTCATGTTCCACTGTTACTTTAAAAATATTTTTCATTACTTGATCATTCAACATAGCCCTGTCCTTTAGGTCTAATACACTGTCTTCATATTGATCACTTTTTTTTTTTCTTGTACTAGGGATTGAACTCAGGACCTTGTGTTTGCAAGGCACACTTGGTGCCCCTGAGATAAATCCCCAGCCCTCATCACTTTTAATATCCATAATTTCCAACATGTTTTTAATCTTCTGGGCTTCTGTTTTTAAAGTTTTTTTACTAGAGCCAGGGATTTAGCTCAGTGGTGCTGCCACCTGCCTCTAAACTCAAGGTCCCGAGTTCAATCCCCAGTACAAAAAAAACAAAAAACTTTTATGGACTCCCATTGTTTTCTATGCTGGGCTTTCATAATTTACATCTCTTTCTTTAGTTCCACTAGCTGGTTTTTCGTGTCTTCTCTAGATTCTCTGATCATATGTTTCATTATGGTGATTTTGTGATTAGCTATATCTTCTTTAAATTTACTAAGCATTTTATAGAACTGTTTTACTTCCATTGGTTCCCTTTCAGAGCTAGCTGTGTATAGCTTTTAATTTCTTCTCTGTCAATGTTCCCGATGCCACTTTTGGGGAAGTTAGAAATTTCTGTAGTCATTTTTTTTACTTATCTTTTCATGTTTCTATTTTTGCTTGTTTCTGTATTCATTTTTGTGTGTTTGTGTTTGCTGGGCTTTACAGATTTTTTGGACCAGTGCCTGGTTCTTTGGGAGTGAGTCACAGAATTGTTTGTAACTGCCTAGGAGATCTGGGTATTGGTATAGAAATAAATCCAGTTGTCAGATACTATGTTCCTAATAGTAAAAATGACTGGAAGGTCAACATTGTAAATCAATTTATGATATTGAGGCAGCTTGACAATACAACTAAAGACAATCGTGAAAAAGGACATTCTACAACTTTATAAGTGGAGTAACAGCAATACAAAGAATTATAACTGACAGTTATTAACAGTTATATGCCAAGAGATTGGATAACATAGAAAAAAATGAATAAAATTTTTGGTATATATACCCTACCAAGACTGAATACTAAAGAAATAGAATATGTGAACAGACTAATAATGAAAAGCTGAATCAGTAATTGCAGCATCTTTTTCGTGAGTAAAATCCTTACCAAATTAGGAAATAAGTTCATGTATCTCAATTTTAAAAAGCCACTTATGATAAGCCCATAATTAATACTACATGTAACAGTGAAAGGTTGTGAACTTTTCCTCTGAGATCTAGCTCAAGATAACAAGATAAGGATGCCTACTGTTACCACTTCTATTCAATATAGTACTGGACACTCTGGCAAGAATGTTTGGGCAAGAGAAAGAAATAAAAGCCATCCAAGTTGGAAAGAATAAATTAAATACTCCCTGTTTAAAGATAACATGGATATATATTATATTTATATACTATATACTGTTATAGGTATTATATATTATGTGCTGTTAATATAAATATATAGGATAACACATTGATCTATTAAAAAGTTAATAGGTACATTCAGTAAAGTTACAAGTTAAAAAATAAACACCCTAAAACTCAGGAGTGTTTGTCTCAGTTACTTTTCATGAGCACATGAGGCTTTGGGGAGACATGTAGATACAAATCCAGATACAAGCCGTAAGTATTTCTGCAGACTAGCAGGAAGCTACCTGAATAAGAAATAAAAAAACAATCTCATTTGCAGTACTTAAAAACAAATAAAATACTTAATAAACTTAAGCACAGATGAAGAATTCTACATGAAAACTATAAAACATTTGATTAAAGAAGTTGAAGAAGCTACAAAACGTTTAAAGATATGGCAAATTCATGTATAAGAAAAATTAATACTGTTGAAATGTCCCTGTTACCCAAAGTGACCTACAGAATCAATGCAATCTCAATGAAAATACCAATAACATTCTTCAAGGAATAGGAAAAAATAATCATAAAATTTTACAGAAACACAAAATAGCCAAAACAGTCTTGAGCAAAAAAACAAAGCTAGTGGCATCACACTATTTGACTTCAAAACATACTACTAACCTACAATAACAAAAATGAATTGAAATTCATTTAAAAACAAACATATGAACCAATGCGACAGAACAGAGAACCCAGAATTCCATACATTCTTATCCAGTTGATTTTCAACAAAGTTAGCAAGAACACATGATAAACAGCAGGGCTTCCTTAAATGGATCAAGGAAACTTGGATATCAACATGAAAAAGAATGAATTTATATCTTACTTTACACCATATATTAAAATCAATTTAAAATGAATTAAATACTTAAACGTAGGACCCGAAAATATGAAATAAATAACAAAAACATAGGAAAAACTTGTCATGACATTGGTTTAGGTGTGACTTTTGGGATATATTAAGCTCCCCCCTCCCAATACAGGCATCAAAAGGAGATGAGATTGATAGGATTACATCATACTAGAAAAGCTTCTGTACCACAAAGGGAACATTCCACAGGTTACAGATTTTACAGACACTGTATGTAATAGGATAAAATATATGCAGAGTTTTTCATATAAGGAGTTAATATCCAAAATATATAAGAAGGTAACAGTAGCAAAAACACAGTCATTTAGAAATGAACATTAGTTAAAAGAAGGCCCGCAAATAATCAAGAAGTATATGAAAAAAGGATTGACATCATTAATTATCAAAGAAGTGAAAATTAAACCATATCAATATAGCCCTCCTGACTTAATTAATTTTCTTGTCACTGAGACACAATACCTGACACCCACTAGCTAAATGAGGAAAGGTTAATTTTAGCTCAGTATTTGTAGAGGCTTCAGTCCATAGTTCAGCTACAAGGCGGGGCAGCATTGGTAAAGGGGCACCGCTGATGAGATTGGGCATGTTCAGGAGGTATGGCCATAGACAAAGAAAATTGCTGAGAAGAAAAAGTTCATGGCCTAATAAGGCAGGAGGCATCAGGAAGGAGTAGCAGCAGCAAGCCTTCCTTTCCCTTTTATTCCATTCAGGCTGCAAGCTTATTGGTTGGTGCCACCTACATCCAGGGTGGGCCTTCCCATTATCTACACCTATACTTATTAAAACAGTCAGTGAAATAATTTAGTTATTATTCAACCTTAATCCATATTCATACACTCTAAATCCAGCCACTTCTGAAAAGCTTTCAGGGGACATCTAGATAAGTCATAATGCTTTCATACTGTTAGAACAACTATTATCAAATAGAGAAAAGAAATTAAGAGTTGTTGACTATGAGAAGAAAACAGAACCTTTATATGCTATTTTGTGGGAATATGACTTAGGACACTATTATGGTTTCTGAAACAGCTAAAAGCAAAACTATTGTATGACCTGGTAATGCTACTACTAAGTATACATCAAACCAAATGAAATCAAAGAGATAGAGAAAGAAATGAAAGCAAAGAGATATCTGCACTCTCATGTTTATTGTGCCACTGTTCACTTTAGCCAGGATACAGAATCAACCTGACTGTTC